TACTACAGATTTTTATATTGACCTTTGTGGCCTTGCTAAATTCACTAAATTATCTATGCCAATTTAAATGTAGTCTTTGGATTTTCTAAATCATGTCATTTCCAAGTAATGACAATTTTATTAGTTTATTCTTAATCCTTATGTACTTATTTTCTTGCCTTGTTGCCTGTTCTTATTTTTTATTAGAAAATGTGATGCTTATGCTAAGTAAAATAAGTGAGGAAAGAGCCACAAGGCTTATATATAACATCAATTTGAGTTATCAGTTTGAACATTCTAAAAAAAATGTGATGCTGAACAAAGTAGGGGTCAGAGTGCACCTTTTCTTATTCCCAATTTCAGAGAAAAAGCTTTCATTATTCCTCCATTTAAATACTGATTGTTTTTTGGTTCTATACCCTTTAGAAAATTAGGAGAATTTCTATTTATTTCAGTTTCAGTATAAGCTTTTCTCAATCATTAGTAAATGCTGAGTTTTATTTAATGCATTTTCCTTCTTATATTATCTTGATATTCCATATTATCTATCTCCCAATTCAGTCATTCTCTTCAGCTAAGTTTTTGTAAAATATAGTTATGTTCTTAAATTCAGTTAAGAACTTTTAGCTCCAAAATTCCCATTTTTTTTTTACATCATGTAAAAAAATTAATTTTCTCAGTTTTGGAGGCAAGAAGTCAAAATCAAGATGCTGTCAAAACCATGCTCTCTCTGAGGTGGCCAAGGAAGAATCCCTCCTGGCCTCTTCCTGGCTGTGATGGTTGACAGCAATCTTTGGCTTGCCGCTGCGTTGTTCCCATCTCTGCTTCTGTTGTCACATGGCCTTCTGTGTCCAAATTTTTCTCCTCTGTTAAGGACACCAATCATTGGATTAGCACCCACCTAATCTTCTCAAATATGAATTCATCCTAAAATAATTTTATCTGAAAAGACCCAATTTCCAAATAAGGTCACAGTCTCAGGTACTGGGGGCTAGGACTTGAACATACCCTTCTGAAGTGCACAATTTAACCCACAATACATAGGTTCATTTTTTTTTCTGAAAATCTCCATATGCTATCTTATTCCCTGAACATACTGATCAGTTATTTTAGTCTTGGTCTGATCATTTCAACATCTGCATCTTTCTCTGTGTTTATGTTGTCTATCCAATCTCAACTTGTCTTTTATGCCTGGCTACTTTTGCTGGAATACCAGATACGGTGTACCCAAATTGTAGGCATAGGATAACTTTTAAGACCCTGGAGCTGTTATCATCTTTTGGGGCAAAATGGTCAATACATACTCAATGTACTGTGCAGGTTCCAACTTGAATTTACATTCTGGTAGAGGAGACCACAACAAATAAATCAGGAAACTATAAGTAGTATGATAAAATTTTATAGTTAAAAAATATATAAGTAGTATGTGAACTAGGTCTGAATATGAAGAGAAGCTGTAAACAGTGTGAAGTAGAGTGTTGGTGGTACAGGTGTACAGTGGACCAGAGTCCTGTAAAGGGCCCAAAAGGAAGGAACTGGTGATTGAGGGATGCTGAGGAAATTGGGACAATGTCCAGCAGTGGCAGGCAAGTGTGGTGGTGTAAGGCTAAGGCTGCACCCACCGGTGGGTTCAGGCAACATCCAGGAGGTAGGCTGAATGTAGGAGAGCACAGTGGTGAGGCTGGAGCATTGATGATCAGACATAGGGTCAGAATGAGACATAGGACCAATAGGCCATGTTAGGATTTTTTGATCAGATAAATATGGTATCATCAGTGCATTTTGAACAGAGTTATCTGACCCTGCCTTAAGAATGTTCTCTGATGGCTAGGTTGAGACTTGAGTAGGAAATCTCTCTAGAGCCAGGCACAGAACCTAAAATAAACCAGACTGCCCTGGTCACACTCCCTTGTGTTAGCTGTTAACTCTTACTTATTATCTGGATTTTATTGTATTTTGCACAAAAATCAAGGGTAACATGCTACTACCTTCTGGGAAACAAACACTACAGTATTTTCAAGCCTGCAGTCTTAGAATAAACCTTACTTTTTCTAAAGTTAGTAGGCCCTTATTTTAAAAGCACTCTCTGGGACTACTGCTCAGCAATACAAAATAATGAAATATTGATTCATGTAATAACTTGGCTGGATCTCAAGAACTATAGAAATATATATAGAATTACAGAATCTTATATTAAAGTTTTAATCTTGATTATTTCTGGGTAGTGCGTTAGAAATTGGTTTACCTTCAAGTGAGATACCTCTGTAATATTCGTTTTCTATAATGAGCATGAAAGATGTTTGCAATCAGAAAAAAATATATATTGCTTAAATAAAAAAGGGGAGAAGGAAATAACAGTCCCCAAGCAGGCAGTCAGTCACTGGATTCTCTCTCAGATGGTGATCAACACCATAAAGACCACGTAGCCCCCCAGTCCATCAGAAACATGGCTCAGGAGCAAGGCTGCCTGCGAGAGCCTCTGAGAGCCTTCGCCATCTCTTACACAAGAGGGAACACCGGTCCCCGTCTCATACGCTGCTGGGAAAATTGAATTAGCATGTGTGAAGTGTTGTACCTCAAGTGTTCAATGAAGTGGAAATTACCTTTTGCTTCCTCTGTTTTTTCCTGGACACCCTGTCATCCGGGAAAAGATGAACAAAAGGTGGGAATGTTACTAAAGCCATCCCACTCCCAAGAAGAAATGGGCCCAGGAAAGGGGCTCAGTACAGCAATACCACACAGGGAAACCTGGACCGTCTCTTCTCATCCCAAGGCTACCTTTCCTGCTCCAGTAGAGAGGTGAGCTCGTTTCCCTTGGGAAGCAACAGCCTATGGCCAGGGCCCAGCACCCACCTCCCAGGTAACGCATCCATCCTGCGCGGCCCTCGCAGCCTTAACCTCCCGCCCGCCCCCCCGGACTCCCAGACGGCCTCCGTGCGTCCTTCGGCCAACCCCAGTTAGCTGAATCTCCTGAACCACAGGCACTGCCTGGCGACTAAACGGCTAGGCTCACTGATGAGGGTGTGAGGGTCCTGGGGCCCCTCACCAGAAGTGGTCGCTCACAGAACCCAAGGCAATTCTGGAGTGACAGTGACTAAACCACCAGGCAAGAATGGGCTCCCTGCTGACCAATGGGATTTCACCCAGTGGCGCTTCCCACAGCTCGTGAGGCCAAAGACCCAAGGCTCGCAGTTAGAAAGCGGCTGTAAAACACGCAAGAAGGGGCCCTCCGGCACGACCGCTTCCGTGCCTGCCAGCCCCGCTCCGCGAACCGCCGCACTGCCTCCCCAGGCCGAGCCCACTCTCACTCTCTCCAACGCAACCCATCACCGGCCGCTCCCGCGCACGTAGCTATACCAGCCCGCCCAGGCCGGAAGAGGGGAGCGTTCACCGCTGCCCCGCCCAGGTGCCCCGCCCGCGCAGGCCCAGGCCCAGGCGGCCGCCATGCGGCTGCGCGGCGCACTACTGACTCCCATCGCAGGCGCAGACAGAGGTTCTTGGCGTAGCGGTCGCACCTGCGTTTTTCCGTCATCTCTGTCCGCGTTGGCCAACGCTGACTTACCACCAGTCCTCAGAAAGCGTGAAGGCCAGTGTCCCCGCTACCAGAAAAAGCGTTTACGCGGCCGGCCGCTTCCACCAGCAGCTTTGAGGATTCCGCGCAGTGTCTTCCCATCTGACCGCGTCGCCCACCGCCGCCTGTGCACCCCTGCCGAAGCGGCACCCTCGCTCTAGTTCCTTCGCCTCGCGTCTCGGGCTCGGGGTCCTAAGGCCTAAACGGCCCTGCAGGATCTTTCCCAGCTGGTGAAGGGCGCCGCGCCCAGCCCCGGCTCCTTGCCGCACCCGTTTCTGCTTGGACAGCGGCTGCCCTTCCAGCCGGGTGTCGGTCCCGCTCAGACTCTTGGAGCTCCTACTGCAGCTCCGGGTCTGCCTTGGAATCTCCACTCGCCCCACTACAGGGCCCTGAGCAGTTCTAGGAACCTCATATTTGGACCTCAGGGCCCAGAAGCGCTGTGCACGAGGGTGCGCCAGCCCCAGACTCCCCTGCACTGGCATCCTGACCCAAGCTCCCAAGTCAGGGGACCTCATGCCCGGGGCACTGTGTACTTTCCATCCGATTTGGCACTACCCTGAAGACGGGAGAGAGGGGTGGGACAGTGGGCTTAAAACACTGCACCACTGGAGGGCTGGTTTGAAGCAACAACGAGACAGGTGCCAGTGCATCAGCCCTGACCCAGATCTAGATTGTGAGCCACTGGCTGGCAGGGACCCGGCCAGCCTCCACCCCAGGGTCCCTGGCTGGAGGTTGGAGGTTGGCCAGAGGGGAAAGCTGCCCAACAGACTGGCAGCTGAGGTGGGAGAGGCACTTCCCCACCCCTACCCGAGCATGCAGAGACCTTGCAAGGGGGCCGTTTCAGGGTTAACGGTGGACATACTGAAGGAACTGGATTTGCACGGATGTTTTTTGGTTCTAAAATGCACTGTGTGGGGCTTTGGGGGTATAGCTTATAGTGGTCAAATTAGGATGACCCAGGGTTGGAGCAGGGTCCATAGGTCAATCTGAGGGTTATACAACATTTCACTGGGGAGGGTCAGTGAAGGAGTTGCTGCATTTCCTGAGCATGTGAGTGATAGCACTCAGATGGGGTCTGTGAGAAGGTGAACCACTGGGAATCTTCTAGGTTACAGGATGTCATGGGTAGGTGGGTCTTTGGGACTTCAGGGTCTCTAGGCAAGGTGCAGAAATTGTAATATCCTTTGATATAACATTGAGAGAGGCAGGGGACAGGAGATCATTATTGGGTTCTCAAAAGTGGGGGGCATGCAGGGAGTGGGCCTCACTCAGAAGAGCCGTGACTACAGGAAGCATTAACAATCTATGGGACCCCTGCTTTCCCTCCACCCCTCCAGGGCCTGGGTTTTCCTGCAAAATGTCAGAGTCCCAGCCCAGCCTGCCTATCCCTGACCAGACCCCAAGAAGGTGACAAGACTACAGGAGGGAGGAGTAGACCAGTTTAATCCTGAGATAAACTTTGTGACAGCCTCCCAGTCCAAAGGGAGCCTAAGGGCCCACCCTTGGAGAGAAAGGGTGCCATGGAAAGTAAGGCCCTCAAGTAGAGAGGAAAACAGCATGGGAGCTGGTGCCCAGAGTGCCACACAGCTGGTCCTGTGCTCAGCAGGTACTGGTACAGCCTGAGGAGAGAATGGAGGCCAGGTCCTCACAGACACAGTCTTTACACAGACAACCCCTCAGCCTCGGTGGACCCCAAGGCTGTGCTGGCTCAGGACAGCCCTACCTTACATGCACTATAATATTTATTAGCTCTCCAATTCTGTGGGCACCCTGCCTGAGTGCCTGGAAGCACTCAGGAGCCTGTTTCACCTGGAGTGATGAGTGGAACAGCTTTTTCAGGTTGGGAACTGAAAAAGAATGCATCAGATTAGCATCTGTGGACCTGTCCTGGTGTCCTCCAGAGGGTATCCCTCCTTTCTATTCTCCCACTGTCACTTTAAACAATACCAAGGACCTCCCCTGATTTGGGGTCCAACAGGGCTGATCATCTGTCAGTAACAAATGCCAGTACAAACCCAGGGAGCAGCCAAGGGGCTCATCTCTTTCTCCAAATTGTAGGAGTTTACCCCAAAATGTGCTGCTTAGCTGGAGGTGCACATAACAGAGCCCTGTCTCACCTCTGCTTCTGGTTGTACTTGCATCTGCATTTGCCACCTGTAAGAGAAAGAAATGGTTAGCACAGAGAACCCGGGCCACCCTTCTCACCCCTGCTCCTCACCCCCTCACCAGGCCCACTGCTCACTTAGGGCAAAAACGATTCCAGCGATGCACAGGAGCCCTGCGCAGATCATCCCGCCCAGCTGTAGGCCTTCCCAATCTGGGGGAGCATGAGAGCGAGCTGGCACCAGCCTGCCTCCACTCTGCTCACTCATTCAAAAAGTATTTGTGAACACCTGCTTCTGCAGAGCCGTTACATTCCAGGCAGCAAAAAAGACAAGCTAGTACATGGACAGACACAGTGTAAAATAGCTGGTAGGAACAAGCACTGGGAAGAAGCACACGGAAGGGCACAAAGAGGTTTGAAGGATGATCAAGGAAGGCTTCTCTGGTGGTATTTGAGCTGGAGCCCTGTAGACATGGGCACATGCAGGGATGATGGAGGGCAGGGCCAGTCAGAGGAAGAGGAAAGTTGCTTCTGGGAACTTAGGGCAGCAAGCAGCCAGCACTGGGGAAGGTGAGTGAGTGAGTGGAAGGAAGGACACTAGCACCTCTAGCCCCTCCCCAGAAGTCTTCCCAAGTACCCGGTGGGGTGGGCACCTTCCCTCCTTGCTGGAATGATCTCCCCAAGACTACGTTGCACATTGGCCTTCTGTTCTTTTCATCTACCACGCTGACTCCCCCAGTCCCAGCCCCACCCTACCCTTCTTTCCCCACCACCTCAGGTCCTCTGTCTACACGGGGCTCCGCTTCACTCCACATCAACCTCTAGCAAAGAGGTCAGGACAAGCAAGGGTAGGGGCACGGGGTGAGGAACATCAGCTCTTACCATAGAAGAAGGGACTGTCTTTATCTGCAGGAAAGAGGCAAAAAGAGAAGGCTAAAGACTAGAACCAGGAGGCAGGATGTGGAGTCTCAGGAGACTGTGGGGCGCAGGAGCAGGGCAGTTTGGGGCCTCACTCACCAATCAGGTTATTGGCTTCGAAGGCAGGCAGGCCTGAGGGGGAAAGCAGGGAGACTGGAAGTTAATTCATGGCATTGGTCTCAGAATGAATCAGCAGGCAGGACCCTAGCCTAAAGGGGCACAGATCGCCAGCTTTGTTGGGGTTACCCTGGGGTCGCCAGTTCCCTTCCTTACACTTTCACCAGCTCTCAACAGCCCTGGAATTTTGTCTCCCACCCCATGGCCTTTGACCCCCAACTCACAGGCGTTCCTGCTATTTCTAGGCTTCTTGTTTTTCCCCCTTGCACTTGGGATGGTGTGTTGTATTTTTTTACCCTCTCCTGAGAAGCATCCTACGCAGACACTGGCTAATGCTTTGCCTCCTGAAGAAATAGGGAGGGCTTTTCTTTTCATGCCAACAGATGGTTACAGTTTTCCAAAGTTTAGTTATTCAGGATATTTGTGTAATACTGACTTCCTACCTGTACTATTATTTCCTTTATGTTTCTCTTTAAATTGACACTTTAAATGAAAACACATTATGTGACATCAGGCCCTCTTTGGGAGATGATGCCCTGGTTTTTACTACATAGCTGGGTGGGGGGAGTTGGCAGCAGGGTTGTCTCTGGCAGAACTTACCAACCAGCATGAGGAGAAGGCCCTGGGTCACTTTCTCCATGACACAGCTGTAGAACAGGGCTGCAGGAGACAGAGGGTGGGATGTACTGGGGTCAGACGGCCCTCCCCCAGGCTCACAGGACTTGGTGGTGAAAGCCAGAGCATAGATCCCAAGGGTGAGCTTGCTTATGGGGAGATCTTGGGAAAGTTACTAATTTCTGTTTTCCTCACCTGAAGATAATATAATGCCTTATAGAGTTATATGGACTGAGTTAATACTAGTTAGATGCTCAGAACAGTGCCTGCACACAGTAAGTGCCATAAAAGCCTTTGTTAAAATCTTTGTAATCAAATGTCTGACCACGGTCAGGTGAGCAGTGCTCTGTCCTGACTCAGGCTTTGACACCTGCTTTCCTAACCCCAAAGGACTATCTGTGTTGAGGCCCTGAGCTATTGTTCCCAAAGGTCTGGGCCTGGGGCAGTCAGGCTGGATTTCTAGATAGCCTCCACAGAAGGTGCAACCAGGGCTGAGCTGAGCTGAGCTGTGCTGAGGAATGAGCAGCTGAGCAGGGGAAGGGCAAGGCAGGAGGGGTGGGTGAGAGCCACCCCCCAGCCCCAGCCCAGTGCAGCCCCGGCCCTACCCAGCCTGAGCCACAAACCCTGTTCCAGGCACCCCCAGTTCCCATTCTCAGAATGCAGAGTGCCATTGGCAGGAAATGGCCTGGTGGGTGGGACATTAGTCCTTTCTTCTCTTTAGGGTGGGAACTATCCTTGTCCCTGTTTACTGGTCCCTGAGGTGGCTGTGTCCTTGAGATAGGATCCCTTCCAGCTTCCTGTATGTCGTTGGCTGTAGGCAGCATGGGATTGTCAGTGTTATAATGTGTTATTAACACGGACACACTGTTATAATCTGCTAGGCCAGCTGGCTGGAACTCTAATCGTCTTTTAGCTACTAACAAGCTGTGTGACTCAACGGGTTACTCAACCTCTCTGTCCTTCAGTGTCCTGTAAAACTAGAATAATTATAATAATACTAATCTCAAAAGGTTATGATTGAATTAAATGAGTTACTGTACATTAAGCCTAAGAATAGTGTCTAGCATGTGGTAAGTACCAAAACACATTACAATAAACAAATACATAAATACATTTGTCTTTTTTGCTGTAGAAGGGAGAGACTATTAACACGCTGCTTCTGAACTTGGAGGTTTGTTGGCTTTCCTTTGGACTCATCCTTGTCTCTCTACCCGCTTCCACTCCCCTGGGATCCCTGGATCAGGAAGGATACTCCTCCACTTTACATATCTTTTAGCCAAAGGCTGGCCAGTGTCCTCCAACCCCAGACTGTCCATATGACAGTGGTCCCAGAGCAGGCAGCCTCCAATCCTCAAAACCTCCAAACACACACCCTGTAACTGAGAATACCCAAACACCCACCACCATCCCTTCCTCAGGGTGCCACTCTGGGCCACCCCTCCACCTAGCAGCCCCTAAGTCCTAGCAAAAGCCTGCTCACCTGGGAGCATTCTCCTGAGCTTACCTGTGAACAAGCGTTGTGAACAGGTCTCAGAAGGCTGTTGGGGCTGTTAAATCCAGGCGGGTTCCAGCTCTTTAAACCCAGCGGCCCCACCCAGGGCAACAATACTATCAGGCAAGAGAGAACTGGTCAGATTCCTCAAGAGATTCCTGCAGCTCTCTCTTTCCACTGTACTGTAAGGAGACACTGGCCTGCCACTCCCAGCATGGACAAGAGCTCCTGGGGGCCCCAGGCCCACTCTGAGCCAAGGTGGTGGTGGGGAGATGAATGGGCCAGGCCTCAGACCCTTCTCTTGAGGAGGTAGACTTTCAGGTTCTTTAGCTAGCTTTAATCCTAAAAGGCGCTCAGAGGGGTGCTGGGAGGTGGCAAGATGTTTCTGTGTTGTGCTAGCACTGGGGGTTCCAGGACTCCTGTGGGGAGGCTGGGGAGAGAAGTCAGGGACTGGCCTTGAGGCTCCATCTTCTCAGTGGCCCCATTGCTCTTGACCTGGGTGTTTACCGAGGGGGTGGGCTGGGGCTGGCAGGCCTCCTTCCTCTGTGGACCCCCCTGGCTGCCTCATGTGCAGCCGGCCAAACTCTCTTCACCCCTTGTAGGACCCCAACCTCCCTGAGAAATAAGTTAGCCTAAGAGTAGCCATCTTGAAGCCCAAAAAGCCATTCTGATATATGACTCAGAGGGAACAACTGAAACCAGGTAACTCCTCTGGAAAAACAAGTTAATCAATCATGACTGCTGGCAGCGCTAACCTTTCGGTTAGTTAAACATAAAAGCTGACCCTACCTTGCTACACCCCCAGGACGTGGCACCAACTCAGAAATCGTAGGTTTGAAAAATTACTGCCTTTGTAGTATTGTTATCTTGCTATGTAGTATTGTTATCTTGTTACTACAACATAATCTGTAACCATGGTAAATCTCTAGGGCTAAATGCCTCAGAAAATCCTATATAACCACTTAGTTGTAAGTACTCAGGGTCCTCGTTGAGACCTGCTGCGACAGGCTGACTTGGACCCCAACTAGTTGGCTTCCGAATAAATTCCTCTTGCTTGTTGCATCAAGAAACGTCTTTGGTGAGTGATTTGGGGCGGCGCCTTCCTCAGGGGAATCCAACACCCTCACCCTACCATATCCTTTGGCCTGGGCCCTTGGCACTGGATGACCCCAGGCCTCTATACTCCTATCCTCCTCCCTAATTCCTCTCTGTCCCCTGCCTTTCCTACTGGATGGTGATCAGGAAGGCAAGGATTTGCCTCCCTATTCCCAATGCCCAGTCATGAACCACAACAGGTAGATCTTTGCTAAATTACTGAACCAGGGCCAGATGCCACCAGAGGCTCCCAGTGCTGGGAACCAGGGCATGGGACAAAGCCATGAAAGGCAGGGCGGGGAGGATCCAGGAGTGGGAAAGGGAGGGCATTCGTAATGCGAACATGTCACCTCTCCTCCTGAAAACTTTCCAGGGCCCTCCCTTGCTTTCAAGAGTCAGTTTCTGCACAGAGTTTAAGACCAGGGGCCCGGGCACCAGGAAAAGCTAGATCTAAAGCCCAGCCTGCCACTTCCTGGCTGGTGACCTCAGGCTCCTTCATTGTTCTGGGCTTGAAGTTTATTCTCTTCTAAAATGGAGCAACGACAGGACTTACCTTCAAGGTGTGGGGCAGGAGCACAGGGCTGCTGCTTGGTCAGCCCTCAATATGTATTTGTAGAATGAATACCTCTCAGATCTAGTGGGAAGAAAGTGTGTTAACTTCAAGATTCAGAAGCACTACTTTGGAGTCAAATCCAGGCTCTGTTAGTTATTTGCTATGTGCACTTGAGCAACTGACGTACCCTGTTCCTGCCTGTTTGCTCATCCATACAGGGGGGACCATAACCCAGCCTGCTAACACTGATTATGCTGCTCGGTTCACAGGAGCAGTTGCTGTAGCCAGGAATGGCCCTGATGTACACGTGATGAGCTCTGCAGCAGGTTGAGCCTGGGGCAGAACCAGGCAAAGGCAGCCCAGCTACTTGTGTGTAACTTCTGCAAACACAATGGTAAGTCACTTATCTCCTCCTTTTGCGAAAGCTGGCTGTAGGTGTAGGTTCACCATGGCTGAGTACTGTGCCTGTCCCCTCTGAGAGGCCCTAAAGGCTAGCCATGCACTCATGGCAGGCCACCTTTCACATTGGAGGTTGTGAAAAGTCAGTTTCCAGGCTAATGAATTTATTTTCTTAGATATTAAACCCAGTTCTTTAAAAAAAATAATTATTGAATAGAGTTGATTTACAATATTACACTGGTTTCAGATATACAACATAGTGACTCAATAATTTATACATTACTAGATGCTCACCGTGGTAAGTGTGTTTACCCCATTACCATGCCAAGATACTATATTATTGGTTAAATTCTCTGTGCTACCATTTGCAACAACATGGATGGAGCTGGAGGATATTATGCTCAGTGAAATAAGCCAGGCAGAGAAAGACAAGTGCCAAATGATTTCCCTCATTTGTGGAGTATAACAACACAGCAAAATTGAAGGAACAAAATAGCAGCAGACTCACAGACTCCAAGAAGGGACTAGTGGTTACCAAAGGGGTGTGGGAAGGCAGGTGGGGAGGGAGGGAGAAGGGGATTGAGGGGTATTATGTTTAGTACACATGGTGTGGGGGGTCTCGGGGAAGACAGTGTAGCACAGAGAAGGCAAACAGTGAATCTGTGGCATTTTACTACACTGATGGACAGTGACTGCATTGGGGTATGGGTGGGACTCGATAATATGGGTAAATGTAGTAACCACATTGTTTTTCATGTGAAACCTTCATAAGAGTGTATATCAATAATACCTTAATAAAATTAAAAAAAATCTCTGTGCTGTACTTCCATTCCTATGACTAATTTATTTTATATTTTGAAGTTCATAGCTCTTTAACCTCCTCACCTATTTCACCCATCCCCCCACCCTCCAACCCAGTTCTTTTAAACAAAACAGTGTAGAAGGCTTCATAAGCTTTGTGTATTAAGAAGTGTTTACTAAACTGTTCTTTCATTTCTTAGGAGTGTTAAAGAATGATTGCTCTCTCAAGGTGTGATTTCTGAGGGGCTGGACTGGCAGTGAAGGCTGTTTTCAGGAAGTCACTTTCAAGGAGCGCTGGCCACTTGCTCTGCTTCTTGGACATGTATTCCTCACCAGAATCCCCAAGAGCCATCTGTTTGGGTTTGATTTCTTATCTACCAAATGGGAGACCTGAGTAACTGAGGCCTACAGGGAAATCAAACCTCAGGTGATGAAAGACTGTGAGGAGTGGGTGATGGACAGCCAGCCAGGTTTGAGTGGATGCAGATGAGAGTCTAAAGTATCAAAAGTTGAGAGAAAACTGCAAGATCCAGCTCTGAATTCTTCCTTCCCTTTCTGGGCTCAGTGCTGCAAAAGGATACAAGACTCTTGTAGAAGGAGGAAAGTCTTTTGCCAAAAGTGGCTGCCTGAAAATCAGCACTCACATCGAGGACACCCTCCTCTGCTCCTGTCAGTCACTGCCACAGCTGCTTTCCTCCTTCTCCAAACAGTACCTATAGCTCTGTGAAGCAATAGGTTGCATCCTCAAAGCCATTAATTTCCCTGAGGAACAGAGTGTAAAATAAAAGAAGTAGTTAGTATCTTGCCTGGCACATAGTAGGAGCACAACGTGTTTTTTCCTAATTTCCTGGCCTGAGTGTCCCAGGCATCAGTAGAGGGCTGAGATTGTCTATTTTGAGGGATCTGGTAGAGGAGGTTAAAGACCCCGTTGGTGAGAAAACCAGAGGAAGGGCAGAGGTTATTTCTGTCCTCTGAGGCGTCTCTCAGTCGTCTACATGTCTCATCCGATGAGAAATACTGAACACCTACCCGGTCCTACTGCCTGTGCTCTGTCTTCCCCAGGAGGCCCCCTGCCCTTCTGCCCCTCACATGCATATTCCGCAGGTGCCCCTATGCGCTCAGGATGCTGACCCCTACCCGTCTCGGCCCACACACTGGGGCGCACTCCTTTGAAGAACGGGGGGATGGATGTTCAAAGCTGGCATCCCTTTGACTGCTCACTTGCGTGCCAGACTGAGGGCAGGAGGACAGCGGTGTAAGACAGAGTGCAAGGATGGCCTTCTGGAGGGTAGCGGCCGTGAGAGACCGAAGGCTCACTTTCTCCCAACTCGTCCTTGCGGACTCGTGCGTGGGGCGACTGCAGGAGGGGCCCTTTGCGCAGCAGGGTCTAAGAGCCTTCTGCACGAGGGATACGGGGGTCTCAGGAAGAGGGATATAGGGATCTGTGCGGCAGCCACTCCCCTCGAGAGTCTGTGGAGAACGCCCGGCTCCCTTTGGCCGATTCTGGTCCCAAACAAGACCCCATCTACCTTAGGAGGTCCCTTCCTGGATAGCATTCCTTATTCCTGCTTTCTACTTTGGCAAGGAGCCGAGAAACAGCCAATTGGAGCAGGACCTTGGTGGCTTCCAGCCAATTAGCACCAAGGAACGGGCGTTGAGGCGGGGCCTGGGGTGAGGCCACCTATGAAAAGAGCGCCCAGGCACTCCTTGGGCTGGAAGTTCTTCACGCAAAATAGGTCCCTCCCCTCTTCGCGCTGATGGGTTGCTCCAGCCGTAAAGAGCGTCTATCCAGCCGCTGTTCCCCACCTACCGTAGGATCGCGCTGTGGTCCGGACTTGGCCGGTTGGTGGGGGTTATGTCCCTCCGTTTATCCGTTTCCACTGCCGCGTGTCACGGTGTTCTGGAGGTCTTGGTCTTGAGGAACTGGGGCCTCAGATCTGTGAGGGATAGCTGAGGTGAAGGGACAGCACTGCTGGTGAGCAGAGCCGGCCAGGGAGGAGCGGGCGAGCCAGCCAGCCGAGGGCTGCGGAGGGAAGCAGCAGGAGGCGGCGGCGCCCGGCGAGGCCCTAGAGCCCGCAGCACGGCGGCTCTGGAGGGCTTCACGGGGAGAGGCATTGTTAGCTCTGCATGTGAGGACGTCTTGAAAGAGTGGGGGTGGCCTGAGCTTAGAAGGGAGCAGCGGAGACAGGTCGCAACTGAAACGTCCGGCGACGTCCTTTCTCGTCCGCCTCTTCGTCCCGCTTCTGTTAGGGCTCTGTAATGCTTCTTCCGCCCTACAGGCGGCTTAGCTTCACGCTGCGGGCCCTAAATGGTGAGCCGTTGAAACCCAGCTTCCCCAAGTCTCCCTGCCCCACCCCACCCTGCCTATGAATATTTCAGAGTTCCCATCTCAGGTTGCCCCCTTATCTTCCCGATCACACAAGCCACCACCAAGCACAGCACGTGGAGACTGTGTATTGATGTGTGTCTGCCCCTCAGGCTATGATCCCCTCAAGGGCATTAGCACTCTTCATTCCGGGTGCCAGCAGCTTTGTCCACCAGCGTTAGCGAATGCTTGGTACCTGCGAGCTGCTTTCCCAGTGTGAACTCATGCCATCCTCACTGCAGCTTTTGCAGAGAGGACTGCCATCCCCCAGTTTAAGAACAAAGAAATGAGGTGAGTCTAAGTCACGTGAAACGCTGGACCACACAGCTGGAAGTGACTGGCAGGCCCTGAGTCAGCTCTTAACCACTACTCGCCACATTAAACTGTGCACAAGATTTATTTTTTAATGTGATTTTAAAATAGTTTTGTTGATATATGACTTACCTACCATACAGTTTTCACATTTAAAGTGTACAATTCAATGGTTTTTAGTATGCTCACAGAGTTTGTACACATTATTTTAAAAATATTTCTTTCGTGTACATGGATGTGTGTGTGATTTTTATGGAGATAATATTTAGATATTTTGCATCAATAAGTACATTGTAGTGAAAACTAGGGTGCAACTGAAAAGTTGGTATCATTATACATGTACTCTGTGTACAATGCTTTTTTAATTTAATAAGTTACAATTTGATTTTACAAGTTTTCATAGTATTTTCATTCTAATGTAAACTACCTGATACTTATTGACTGATTGAACACTTATTTTGAATCTCACTTCAGTTCAGGCACTTTTCCAGGAACTAGGGGTTGTAAAACAGGTAATGGGAAGCTCCTACCTCTAATGGTGAGGACAAAGTGTAGGAGAAAGAAATAGATGGTGTAATATTTCAAGACTGATTGGTGTAGTGAAGACTCATAAAGCAGCTGAGATGCAGAGAGTGACTGGGTAGAGAGAAAACTTTCTTAGGTTGGGAGATCAGAGTTGGTCATAGGTAAAACATTTGTACCTACATTTTCCCTTTGCCAATCTTTTCTGGTTAAACGTAGCCAATAGATGCCAGGAGCCATGCTACTCAAGCTGTGTAGCAAAGCTCAGGCTGGAAGACCCCCCCCCCCCACAAAGCAGGGGCCTTCACAGCTGGCTCCCCCTATTACCCACCTTGATTTTGCTTTTTCTATTATACTATTGGCTTTGCTTTTACCTGCATTTTTTGCTAAGGGTTAACTAACCTTTGCTGAGCAGTGTGGAAAGGATGAGAACGTAAGTTTCCCAGGAGCTTTTCAGGACAGTGCACCTGAAGATTGGAACATGCAGGGGCCAAATGGCGATCTTGGCATAGAATACTGAAACCTACTGTTAGTTAGTCAAACATTGACCACCCCGTTTTCATTGAGAATACCCCCCTTTTATTATTACAATGCTAGTGAAATTAGTGATGGAAAATTTTCTAGAAATAGAGTTATGAGAGAATGTAGATTGGAATAACCCTGTCTGACACTTAATCATCTCATGTTTTCTTCCCTCTTCTACTTCTATAGTTTTTTTTCTTCTTTCCTAATTACAGCCATTTACTAAACTTTGTGCCTTATATGTGAGATTACCAAATACCATAATTTTCCAGGAAGTAAACATACCCCAAAACAAGTGCTGGGCATAGAAGCCACGGAGCATAAATCTGCAAAGAAGTGAAAAACTAACCTTTTCAAAGAATATTACTTCTCTCTCACCAGCTTTACATCTCCCTGTATGGCCCTGTAAGATGGCTGGTTAGCCAGAGACAGGTAAGATTCCTCAAGGGAGGAACAACCTAAGACAGGCACAGTCGCAGGGGGGCCATCAGGTGAGAAAATGGGGGCCAACAGAGGTGAGACTTAGAACCTCACCCCCCCCTCCCCCAGTTTTGAGAGAAATTGTCTACACCTGTGGATGTTTTGTTGCCCTTGTTCGGCCTGGATTAATACTTAGTCTATAGGCACAGACCTGATCATCTACACTTGCCTTCTTACAGCACGAAATCATGCTTTCTATCTATATCTTGCATCTACCTACTACTTCAGCATTTTATTAGAAATGTAAAGGAGAAAATGTGAGATTCATATATAAAGTATAAAAATCAAATAAATAATCATACATATTTGACTTGATTGTTTATATTTAAGGTTTGTAGTTAAAACAGAAACAGTTTCTATGATATGAATGCCCTTGCATTGTTCATCATGTAAGTAGTAGTAGAGTACTAGTAGAGTACTAGTAGAGTACTAGTCCCTGCAGTAGTAGAGTCATGGAGACCTGTGGAGCATATGTCAGGGAGATTTTGGTATCCACACAGAAGAAAGAGAAATGTAGATAAGAAGGGGAAATGTAGTTTGCTGCCTACTGTGCCCTGTAAAGGGGTGTATAATGAAGATATGAGTTTATGATTTTAGATTGATTATAAATTTATTAAAGCCTCTAAGAATATTTTTGTGGGAAAGAATCCTAGCTAACTGTGGCACTAGGTGACCTGTATTTCACCCTGAGCTGATAGACTCCATAGTCGCTGCTACATACTGCACGCTCCTACGGTCACATGCACTACTTAGAAACTGCGTTGCATAGAAACGTAAAACACAATAGAGTCCATGTTGATAGGAAAAGTTTTGGTCAAGGAACAGAAAAACAATCACCTGTCTAACACTTGACCAACCATGAATAGATTAGAAAGAAGAAGAAAGAAAAAAGCTTGCCTATACTTATTAATCAACTGCCTATACTAATTAATCATTAGAACAATAAAAAATAATAACATCCTTGTGCAAAATGGTATAAATAAAGCTGTCATCGGCACTTTGTCGAGAGACCACCTCCATCTGACTCTGTGTCCTGTCTGTCCGTGCGCCAACTCCGTCTCATCCTTTTGGGCTTCACAACCCCCGGCTGGAGCTGGACTCCGGCAAATAAAGACAAATACATACTCAGATTTTAGATTACAACATAATTTATGAAAAGGGTTTCTCATCTAGAAACTGGCTCTCATTCCAAGACATGTCTCTCCATTGACCTTACCTTGCTAAAAACAAGACAAGCCCAAAATGGAGTCACTTATGTTAAGCCCCACATCACCAAACTGAGAGTTATTTAGTTTCCGCTATCCTAGAAATGAAATCTTAAAGCATTCAATCAGCAACTACCTGACCAGCACTAGTGAGGTGATCTGCCTGATAGAACCCGTCATCCTCTAAGGGAAGGTGACCTTGCTGCAACCAATCTACTTTTTGCTAGTCCAACTTAATTGTTCACACTGCTTCTGCCTATAAAAGTCATTTTGTACAGCCCTTTGGAGCTCTTTTCTATGTGCTAGATGGGATGCTGCCTGATTCAATAGTCATTGAATAAAGTCAGTATGATCTTTAACATTTACTCATTTGAATTTTATTTTTAAATGATCTATATATAAGTTATTTACAATAATATTAAGTGTCTGGAAAGACTTACTTATTTGGCAGTAATAGAAGAATATTTTCACTGGCACTGAATCTTAAGAGTTGAAAGACTAAAAGCAATGGCTCAAGAGACCAAAGGCACTATGATTGGAAAGGGTTTGCATTTAAGCCAGTCTTAGTTCTTTTTGTTAGCATAGACTGACTATGAATGTCAGTAGTTTCTAGAAGCTTGTTTTTATTTCTTTATTTTGGTATCATTAGTGTACAATTACATGAGCAACATTATGGTTACTAGACTCCCCCCATTGTCAAGTCCCCACCATGTACCCCATTACGGTCACTGTCCATCAACGTAGTAAGATGTTATAGAATCACTACTTGTCTTCTCTGTTATACTGCCTTCCCTGTCCCCCCCCCTCTACATTATGTGTGCTAATTGTAATGCCCCTTAATCCTTTTATCCCTCCTTTCCCACCCATCTTTCCCAGTCCCTTTCCCTTTGGTAACTGTTAGTCCATTCTTGGGTTCTGTGAGTCTGCTGCTGTTTTGTTCCTTCAGTTTTTCTTTGTTCTTATACTCCACAGATGAGTGAAATCATTTATGCTTGTCTTTCTCTGCCTGGCTTATTTCACTGAGCATAATACACTCTAGCTCCATCCATGTTGTTGCAAATGGTAGGATTTACTTTCTTTTTATGGCTGAATAATATTCCATTGTGTATATGTACCACCTCTTCTTTATCCATTCATCTACTGATGGACACTTAGGTTGCTTCCATTTCTTGGCTATTGTAAATAGTGCTGTGATAAACATAGGGGTGCATCTGTCTTTTTCAAACTGGGCTGCTGCATTCTTAGGGTAAATTCCTAGGAGTGGAATTCCTGGGTCAAATGGTATTTCTATTTTGAGTTTTTTGAGGAACCTCTGTACTGCTTTCCACAATGGTTGAAC